AAATCCCCGTCTGTTTGGGACTGGGACGGCTCATATCTGAATGACCTATTGGCAGCAGGCAGGGAACATAAAGCAAAATCCCTCCGAATGGGAACCGTAAAACGAGTTACATTCACCGTGGATTCACCGGGACGAAAGCATTACTGGGCCCTCCAAGCTGCCTTGTATGATAAGAATGAGAAAACAGTCCAATCCCTCCCGTGCCTCCAGTAATGGGTATCTCATTCAATCCGAATGGTTGAGAAAAATACGCAGATGTCGACATTGACTTGATGATACTGAGTTTCCAGACCGATTGCGAATTTCAAAACTACCATTTATTTCCCTATTGGTTCCCTCCGCAGTTCCTCTGTAGTTCAAATTTATTACTTTTCTTCAGGGCAATCATGGATAGTCATACGGTACAAATTCGATAACAATATACTTCCGTACTGACTCTCTAGAGTCTGTCACGAAAGACTAAATGTTGACTATATCTCTATGATTTCAAACGCACCCCCTTTCATTTTGCTAGAAACTTGCCAAACAATATCGTCTTTATATAACACAAATTTTATCAAGAAACTGCAACTTTTAATCGTGTTCTCTGTTATTCCTTTGTCTTAGAATGGATCTTTGGAGATGTCGTCTGCAAGCTGTCCCCCTTCATGCAGGGGGTGTCTGTAGCAGCCTCCGTCTTCACGCTGGTTGCCATAGCAGCAGACAGGTTATTATGGGTTATCTGATGTATATATCTCAGTGCACGTAATACGCCTGAGTTAGGATATAAGAACTCAATATCCTCTTACATTCGGAAAGAAGTTAAGAATCTTAAAAGTTAGATGATACACTGCTCCCACGTATAACTACAACTCATTTCAACTGTTATGTCCAGTCATTTACAGCACTCGGGGTGCAAGAGGTTATGTGTTAGCCGGTTGGCGAGTTATTGATTTCAGTGACCTTTAAGTTTCTATTAAGGCTTAATACTACCCTGGCTATAGTACACAGCTCAGGGGATAGTAAAGGAATCCACTGCCCCTCGTAATGTACGTGGATTTAAGAGTGAAACGTTATCGCTTGTGTCCGGCTTGTTGTATGTGATCCCAGGGATACATGGTGCGTACAGGAGGCACGACTCGGGTTGCTGAAGTAACACTGTGCTTTTATTTGAAGGTACGTGGCCGTTGTGCGGGTTCCTAAGAGCACGATAGACGGGAGACAGGCGGCTGGTATCGTCCTCTTCATCTGGATACTGTCTGCTACTCTCTCCATACCACAGGTCCGACTTCTAAACAATTGTTCCTACCTGTCATCCACACACATCTATCAATATGAACTTGGGAATTTTCAGTTTCCTCTGCTTCCAAAGAAGAAATCAAAACCCACATTAGTAACGCAGATGTGGGAGCTTATTACTTTAGACCAGCGACGTAGTGTAATTGCCTCACATCTATACTCACTTACTTTATGTATGTATGATATCACTTATTCACTTGCAAGTAGCCCACGGGTGCGAATTTATTTCACTTTTCTGTGTGCTATGAGCATGAGCGTGAGTAAACTTATTACTCTTTTAAAACAGTTACAGATTAACAGTTGATGGTAACCAAGTAATATTTTCTAGATTTCACTCAGCTGCGACAATCAGAAGCAAAAATGCACATTTGGTCTTCTGTGCAGGAAGCATATTGAAACACGTTTTGTGATGACTTATAATTAGTGCTGAGTCCGAAGAACCTTCTGTTGTAGGTATTTTTGTGACCCTCGACCCTATTATACCGTAACCGTGTTTTGTGTTGGTACAACAGGCGGTGGTGTTGGAGACCAGAACCGTTGAGTACTCCGGCGTGCCCGTGTTAGCCTGTCAGGAGCAGTGGCCCAGTCTCACCTACCGCCGCGTCTACACCATAGCCCTGTTCCTGGCCCTCTTCTTCACCCCTCTCACCATCATCTGCTACATGTACGTCAAGATCTCCAAAAAGCTCTGGCCTGACAACAGCTCGGAGAGCGGCACGCCGCGGTGCTCTGGCAGACGCGCGGCGGCGGCAAACGACAGGGACTCCCGCATGATCTGGATCGTCAAGATGCTGCTCATCGTCGTCATCCTGTTCGCCGTGAGCTGGCTGCCGCTCCACGTGGTCACCATCGTCGGAGACTTCGGGAACCTGAGCAACTGGCACGGGACGGTCCTGTACGACTACGTCTACCCCTGTGGCGCACTGGCTGGCCTACCTCAACAGCTGCATGAACCCCATCGTCTACGGCTACTTCAACAAGAACTTCCGCCGCATGATGAACGAGGACCCCAGAAAGCCGGGATCGTCCAGAAACACGGACGGGAAGCTGGGCGTACACCAGACCCACATCGAGATGACGGACAGATCGGTCTTCAACTGCACCACCCCCGGCACACTCCGCTCTGTCGCCGTGCGCATCACAACAGCATCGCCGTAGACAATATACTAGTAATAAAATCTTCCCGAAATACACACTTTCAAAAATCCATTGCTATTTTACTGTCCCAATCAGCCTGTCCCATTTACTATTGAGGAACACACGACGAAGAACAGATTTCTTTTCTCTTTTCTTCCTTCACATTTGTTCAATGAGTTTTGGGGAAAAAGTGAGAATACTTATATTACAAAAGAACATTTATAAACAAACGGAAAGACAATATATACATTTGAGACATAAACAGGAACAGCAAGACATAGAAAATGCAAGGACAAGATGTTCACCTTCGCAGAAGGGAAACATATTGCTTTTGCTCTGTTTCTTCTTATTCAGAAATGGTCAGTGACCTTCAGGACTCCAGGAAGGATAGTAAGGAACTGCTTTTTTTACTAATGATCCTAATGAACATAAACATAAATGACCTACATCAGACGGCTGTCACCATGGTAACTGGTGTTTCGGCAGACACCATATGGTGTTGGATTACATGAGGTAGCAAGTGTTGGAAGGGCTGGTCACCATACGTGACATAAGAATAAACAAATCAGTCATTTGTTGGGCTAGACCATATAAAGGTAAATATTATGCATTTGCTTTGCAAATGTTACCTTTATAGTTTGTTCTTGTATCTTTTATTGCGTCATTGATACCGATGCTTCAGCGACATTGAAACAGCTTATAATGGTTGATATAGCTTGTATATTCGTTGCAGAGTTGGCCATTTTCATGGGTGTGCTGAAGTAAAGAGAAGCCATAACATTTGGCGTTAAAACTACCATTTGCTTGATCAGTGCCATCTTGTCAGAGGAGAACGTCAGTGGCATCTGTTGCCCCTGCCTCTTCAGAATGCTGTATTTGTAAATAATTTGACTTTAGAATGTCAGTCTTCAATAGTTATTTGTTCGTTTCCTCACTGTTTGTATTATAGGATAAGGAAGTTTAAGTCTAATACTAGAAAGATGTTTTCATGATTGATCGTAGCGTTTGTGCACACTTGTGTCATGTTATTACTTGCATACACCAATGCAGAGATTATATCATAAGATTTTTGTATTGGTTTGAATCTGAATGAAGGGAAACTTGTATGAAACTTGTACTGTACTTTTGTGTTGCTACGGAATGGCTTTTCAGTGCCCCCGCCGCACGCTGAATAATATGTAGAGTCTCAGTTGGAATGTTTGGTCACCTTTTTCATCACCTTTGTCCTTCTATCTGTTCTTTTCTGTGGCGCAACGTTTCATCAGTCACATTTAGTGAATAAAACGTTTTAGTGGGGTACAATGTTGTTAGCGTGTGTATCTTTGAACACTGGTCGAAGCTCTCATAAACATAATTGCTTGCGTCACACGGCCCCAACGTCGTTAACTACCCGCATGAGACAGCTTCTTACAGTACCCGCATCAAATATATGAAATCCTTGATGAAAAATTCTTTTGAACTATAAAGGAGTGGTCGTTTTTTTAAGGTGTGTTTGTAGCATAAGTTCAATAGTCGCCATTTTTCCCCATTTTCAATATCTATCTTCTTGAACGTACATGATTCCAGTTTAGATGGATAACTGACTGATTTGATGTTAAATTCTTTCTTGTAGCGTCATGTCTATTCTCACCATATAAAATTTCTTAGACAAGAGGACGTAGATATTGATAAAACCTTTTTGAAATGGTCCTCCGCATTGAGCAGCTGTGGGTTTTTTTTCAAAGCAAATGATTTATGCTTTTATCTTTCAAAAGCATCAGCTCTTCAGTAGAAACCTTTCCGTACTTTCCAAAAGTAATACTGAATAACGGAAATCGAGCAGTTAGCTGATAAACCGAGAGAAGCAAAATAAGAAAGAAAATATCACATTCTGTGTGTATGAGACTATTTAGCCCGGTATCAAGGGGAAAGAAAGACTGTTAGAGTTTTGTGGATGAGGGCACTGTCTTTAACAACTTGACTGTACAGTGCAATTCTTGAAGCGTACTTGAAACGGCCCATTTCTCAAATCCGCACAAAGCTAGAACAAGTTTGCACTATTTGCCGTCTGTCTGCTGATGCATAAGGTCGCCAATGCCAAGTGTAAGATGGCGACTTGCCCCACTCTACGCACCATGTCAGCTGGGATCGAACCTGACCTGTATTCACCAAGTCTCTTTGAAGAAACATTAAAAAGTTCATGTGTCAGTCAGGTGTGACCCGAAGTAGGCAATCTCGAGCATTTCTCACAGAAAGAGACCTCCTTGGATACCCCTTTGTTGTATTGGTACAGGCTAGTCAGTTGTTGCTTCGCGGTCAAACATGGAAGATGCCATTTAAGAACAAGGGGTCATTTATGACACAAATTGCTTACGCCATTCCTAAATCCGATGACTACTTATAAAGGATGGAATCTAACATTTATTCCAACATGTGTTTTTCCCTATTTTGTGTACTAAGTGTAATTATAAAATCATAGCTTTCTTAAATATTTCCTATTTGAAAAATGTCGTCTGGAATGAAGTCGCCTTTGTTATTGAAAGTCTGTGGCAACAATGATGAGAAGAGGCCACTTGTGTGCTCAAAAGGCTGTAAAAGTGCCAGAAAACATGGGAAATCCGGGTCAGAGGTGACGACTCCGTCAGCCTTCACTGATTTTTTACTTGGAAGATGAGGTTGGTGTGTCAGGGATGTCGCTAGCAGAGGCGAGTAGCTTTTAGATGTAAAGTAATACCATCGCTTGATTCTTGTTCTGCATCCAACCGTATACGTGTAGCTTTCGAGCAATGGCGCTGTTTACAAAAAATAACCTCGCGATCTTTGCGCTGATAGCCTCGGTCAGTCTTGTTGGCCAAAGCTCGGCCTTGTCAGAGGGAAGTAACATCAAAGATGAAGTCGTGTCATACTGGATAGATAACGGGTGTAACTTCCCTCCCCGGACGTTCTACAACAGTGACAAGTTAGACGTGTGTGACCGGCCCTACCGCACGGGGGACAGAACGTCCGGTCTCTGCAGGTTCTTTTATGAAGTGTCCAAAGACCTGTGTTACGCCGCCTCGGGAGAGACCGAGGACGCGCAGATGCTGGAGATGTTAACGTTGGACAGCTACATTCTCGTCCTGGACAACAGACGGCTCTGTCACATCTTCCTGTCTATGGACAGGGGAGGGATCCTACCTGAGGTGAACGATATGACCAGGGGCTGGTACAAAAAGGTACTATTTTCTACTAACTTGTGCTAACTTTTACCTTGATATCTCACATGCATTACAAAGTGTTTCTGCGTGATCTCTTCTATCTTAAATCCTTTGCTTTCTTTTACTTGCTCGATTAAGCTCATCGATCTGAAATATGGCGATGAATTAGAATTCTTGATATATGAGCCATTTAAGGCAATTAAATGCTGCCAGTGACGTCACGGTAAGCATGGCAGCCAATTCGGAACCTGGCATCTCGGCTGTTAAAAAAATTCTTTTGATGTAAATGGACATTAATATCTTCCAATTGTATGTACACGATAATCATGCATTGTTTGCTCTTCGAAAGAACGTTATTTACGTCAGTTAATTAAACGGATGCCATGCCTACTGTGACGTCAAGACTCGATGATCCCTAACCTCAGAAGAGTGTTTGTTTTTTTGTCCAAACGTCTTTGTTCATTGAATAAAACCTATCACGTTTGACTATTTTCAGCCTCGTGACTTGACTATATGAAAGTAAATCTAAAGTAACGACGTATTTGTTCAGATGGCCTAGCCTTCTGTACATCAAACTACTCCATCCATATTTCATGAATGCAGTCGTGACCGCTTCATCTCATATTGTAGTGCAGCTAGACCATCAAATCTCCTTTTGGTACGTTCTAAGATTATGTAGGACGTCTAGAACCGCTAATCTTTATAACAGCTTTCGTCGCAATTTTCTATCTCAATTGAAATCATAGTCCCAAGGGAGTGATAGAAATGAAATAGGATTGCAGTAAACTATAAACTAATGGTATTGAGTCTTCGGTAAAATACCGTGGGTGGTTTTGCTAAGATAATAATCCAGCTAAATTCCCTTCGCACAGTTTTCTTGGGGCTTCTATTAGATTATGAAATGTACCTTAAGTTTGTTCCATGGGACTAGATATTTTTTCAATATCATCATCATCATCATCAAGTTCATAGATTTGATAGATGATTTTTGCAAACGCTACGTTGCTTTGGCGTTCATATTAATGATACCGCATGTGACGATCCAGCGCACCGTAACTCTCCTGACGTTCTAGCTCAGTCCACAGTGATTATGTACGTAACAGATCCTCGCTGTGTGTCACTCTCTTGTTCACGTTCTGCGTCCATGTTTTTTTTCCAGGCGAGAAGCATCCTGACGACAGAACGGTCGTGTACAGCCGTGTGTGACTCGGCAGGCATGCACCCGCTCTGCGTCGCCATCTTTGTGTCGTTCGAATACATCCGGGACGTTCAGCCGCCGATGTACGGTACGTCCACACGTCACTTCTGAGGGCATCAACTGAGAGTTTTCCTATATGTTTTGTTGTTGTTGTTGTTGTTGTTGCTGCTGCTGCTGCTGTTGTTGTTGTTGTTGTTTTTTGTTGTTGGACACAATTCCTCCAATGTATATAAAATCTCACCCCCATCACATAGTACTATACACTACTTAGGTTAGCATTATAACTTTAAAATGTTTTAGTTGTGTACGGTACCAGTAGATGCCATACTTTGTGCCCTGTACAGTTACTACTAACAAAAGACGATTAAAAGAAATATGAGGAAACCAATTATATACATGTAACTAGAATTCCGAGATCTCATACCTCCATGAAATATGATCTTGATATGTAAATGTAAATTTCTTCTTTAATTGTTCAAATGACCTCTGCATTAACATGATATATGCATCGTGATGTATGTTAACTTTTGATTAACTTACAGATGTCCCAAGTATGACATTCTCATCATTCACCATTACGAAATCATAGAATTTTCACATTAATTATGCAAATTAGGTCATCATTTGCATAATTAGTATCTGTTGAAGTTCCGCCTGCCATAGGTTACATACATGTAGTATAATGTAAAACACTGTAATTATAGAATTTCCTCATTAATTATGCAAATTAAGTCCTCATTTGCATAATTTACATTTAATTATGTACATCTCTCTCTCAGCTACCTACACACCAAAAATAATGAAAATATGGTGTTCCTGTCTGG